AAGCTGACCTTTTGACAATAATTCAGATAATAAACAAGCTACCAAATCTCTCCTAAGCTTTGTTTAGTTAAAAAACCTGCTGGGGATTATGAATCCCAGTATTGGATTAAGATCACACAGACACCAGATACACACAGCATATCGCTAATACAGCCAAATGGCTAGACATTTTTCGAGCCTCTCCTTATGGCTGCTCGTGTTATGAAGTCATCACTTCTTCATACTCAGCTGTGAGTGAATAAAATAGACATTTAGATCAGAAACTGTTGGTATGTTTTACTTTCATCCTGGGAATAGAAATGTAGCCTTAATGTTAGTGCTGCCTAATCTCTCCATGATTACTACAAGATGTGATGTATATACCGTGCAGTCTGTAATGGCATGTTTCAATTGTTTTAGATCTGTACTTCAGCACATTTGATTTGGTTTAAAATTAAATATTAACTGAAGATTGAGTGTTGACTTTCAACTTCAACTTGAGTGTGTTTAGATCCACTTCAACTGAACAGCACTTGTAGCTCTTTTTATAGATAATCTCTTAATTTTAGGACATTGGAGTCAGGGAAAAATCCAAAATGTACAGATAAGGCAATCTTAGTTTTTATTTGTGGCCACACATCAAATGTTCTTCACTGTCAATCACCTGCTTGACTCCACATGATCATGTGTTTCACTTGCCAAAGAACAGAGATCCCAGTAGTATTTGTAGTATGGTCATATTGGATGAGTCCTCCAAGAGTTTAGAGTCAGGATGGTGGAGAGGAGTCCAGCCAGTCTGACTTTCATGCTACAGACAGAAGTTTGCATTTTATCCCACCCTGTCTGACAGTATTATGCATATTCCGTCATGTGTCCCATCTCTTCATTGAAGAAATATGATGTTCCACTGAGTACTCCATGTGTTTTTATTGCTGCAATATTCTAGAAGTTTTGTTTATCATTTTGTACAAATTTCTGCAAAACTCACCCTGATATATTTGGTATCTTTACAAAACTGCTCTAGAATTTGAAGTTCTGCAGTTATGAACAATATAAACGCTCTTTCTCAAACAAGGTACAAGGTAGATTTAATTGTCACAGTTCCTTCTGCTACATATCAGACAATACACAATAATATAAAAAGAAGTATTTTAAAAATGGTAAACAGAAATAAAATCTATTCAGTGGAACAGTACTGAGGATGAATTTGAGTTTAAAAGTCCGATAGATGGGGGGAAAGCTGCTCTGCAGTCTGGTGGTGCGGCTGCTGAAACCTCTATATCTCTTCCCAGAATGCAGCAGGGTGAACAGGCTGTGGCTGGGTGGGAACTGTCCTTTAGTATCCTTCGGGCTCTGCGTAGGCACCTCACCTCACTGATACCACTGATGCTCAGGAGATGGGAACCATTGATCTTCTGAACAGTTTTAATCACCCGCTGCAGAGCCCTCTGGTCCTGGGCCGTGCACATCCCATGCCAGTTTGAGATGCTTTCTATTGCTCCTCTGTAAAAGCTGACAAGAACGGGAATTTGACCTTGTTTTAGTTGCCTAACCTCAGCAATGCTTTATCCATTGTGTAACTGCCTTGCATAGCTGTTGTAGAAATAAGTTATAAAAACAAAACCTGACAATAAATATTCAAAAATGTTGTTATTGAGCGTAATGTAGGATTTTACAGAATCGTCCAATATCAGAATTCTTGCTGACAATAAGGAGACCAGACTGATGGCAAGCATCACCAGGTAAGAACGATCTGCTGATGTCAATGTCCGCAAAGGATTTACGACCCAATATTAAATATGATGACTTTATAGGTTCATCTTAAATTGTCCAATGTAAACTGAGAATTGATATGTACAAAACATAAAGGCTTTAAAGTCCAAACTATGCACATTTTAAAATTGCTTACAATGGAAAGCTAAGATTCACTGCATTGTATCATAACAGAATAACAATGGCACTCCATTCAGATCAAGGTAAAGACATACAGAAAGTGTTGGCATTACCATACAGTAAATGCACGCCCTTCAGTCACAAACACATCTTCAAATGATCCGCAGTGGAAAAGGAAAAACTGCACATTATTTCATTTCATTTACTATACCGATCCAAGCCACCTCACGTTGTATTTTCCCAATGGAATAGCACTAATGTGTTAGTGTGATTATTGACAGGCAGGGATATGCCCAGCTTCCTGGTAAATACAGGTAAATATTCAGTCTTTGCAGTCCTGTGAAAGGAGACACTAAAGCCCTGTGGAACATTGTCATCATTATGCTGGATTCATAGCCCACACCTCTCCCTTTCTGTTCTTCAGCTTGCAGTGCTTTTGCTTCCTCAAAGAGACCCATGGGACCAAACACAAAATATATAGCTTGTGTGTGTTTCTCATAATTGGCTCTAAGGTGACGCAAGTCTTCGAGTCGTTCCAGCAGACTCCAAAACAGGCAGTTTGAATTCAGCCATTGTGCTCACATGATCCTACCTCAACACAGGCATTTGTTGATGTACTGCAGCATGATTGTCAGTCCTGACTCAACCTATAGGTTACGGGATCTTTTCTTAAGACTCCTCTCATGGTCACAAGAACATCTTGTATTTGTCAACATGTTTGGTATTTGGGTTACAAACCTTGGGTTATTGCAAGACTGTTAATGCGAGCATGTACTGAAGTAGTGGTTTATCCAGGGATTGCATCCACAGTGTATGGCATTTTTATCATAATAACAACATTGTTAATATAGCATTTTTCAAAAGCAAATTTACAGTGCACAGTTAAAGACAATAAAAAAAATATTATTCCTGTACATAGGCTAATGAAGATCATGATGAAAAATTAATCAAAAATATTTATCAGTGCATTATAAAATTACCCATATGAGTTTTTCTGATATGAGGTATGCTACTTGGTTGCAGTTAAAAATAGATTGCCCTGTAAAAATACAAATAAAGATTTGTGGTAATTAAAATCAAGATATATAATGACTGCTTAAAATATTAAATAATGAAATAAAATGATTTCAAAAAATGTAGCAAAGAAACACTCAGCCATGCATGAAATAACATGGGAAATGAATATAGGTCATATTTGACCCATGTTGTGCATCTTAATAACACCAATAACTGTCAACCCAGCAATCACTTTTATCAGAGTAGCTTAGTGTGTATATTCTAAAGGTCTACAATATGCAAGCACCGGACAAGAGGCTCTTAAGGTGGTTGTATGCAGGATGCAACCACTGGTCTCTTACTTTGAGGAAAAAGGAGAACAGCTTGTCAAAATATCAAGCCTCTTTACTGCCAAAACCCTCACTGGCAAGGTATTGTGGTGAACTGAGGGAAGCCAAAGCTTCAGCGAGCCCACGCGAATCATGGCCCTCTGAGCTTGTGTCCTCTCCTTTTCCTTGAAATAGCCTCACCACAAGAGGCAGCGCTGCAGTGCCAAAAGAAATGACTGGAGTAAATCTTCTAGTGTTGAGTCAGAGTCGACCAAAAACTCACAACCATTTTTCTGCGGCTTGAGGCCAAAGAGGAATGTAATGAACAACCATGACCTGATAGGAGGCCATCTTATTTATCTGACTACCGAAGTGGCTAACAGTATATGTATCATAACCAGCGTAGACAATTGCTTCAGGAGCCACTTGAACTGTTGTCCTTTTTTTTTTTTATAACAGAAGAGCATTTGACAAGAAAGACTGACTGAAATTGAAATGCAGTAGATGAAGGCTAGAGATGAGTCAGTGAGTCCATGGCCATCTTTTAGATTATCATCAAATGCTGATGCAGAGTCAAACAGAATGCTTCAGCACTTCCATCTCTGCACACAAGTCTTATTAGTGTTTCTGGGAAAGTACTGCACATCATAATCACCAGCTGATTAAGTGTTGTTGGTACGCTTTGACCCTGTTTTTCAAAGTATATTGAGCTTTTCATTGGATATTCAGAGTGCATGCAGTTTGCATGTTCAGTGCCTCCTAAACCATGGGAACTTGATTTATTTGAAAGAGACAGTTAATGTGTATGCAGATGCAGTATATGTTTGTACAATATGTGTTGTTTTGTGTGATAGATATGGAGTGGACTAAACACAACACTGAAACGATAAGCCAAGTAATCAATCAGTTGATCGCCATAAAATGTATCTACAACAAATTGATAAGCAACAGCTGGTCAAAGTCATTTATTAAGCAAAAATGACAAGTGCAGATGACAATGACGGAAACAAATTTAATGGTTTATGGCTTTCCTTGGTTTTACACCATATTTAAATTGACTATAATTGGGTTTTAAACAAAACAAAATAAGCTATCTGAAGATGTCACCTTGCACCTTGGGCTCCCAGAAATGGAAATGGTGATGGGTATTTTTAATTCTTTTCTGATATTTTATAGACAAAACAATGCTGCTGTATTCAAACCTCTCATACCACAGAACAAACTGCACATCTGATGAAAGAGAATATCAATAGTTGCATTTAGGAAATAAACTAAATTGTTGTTATTATGATATGGTATTCTTTGCCATGTACTGAAGTGAAAAGTGTCAAAAAAAACAGATTTATTAGTAGGCTATTGGTATACTAATAAATACAATACGATCTTGCTTTGTTAAGTACTTTGATCTGCATCTTTGCGCGAAAGACATAAAAGTTCTTCTTTTTTATAAATACCACACCTTTACTAGTAGGTGTGCTACAGTATCTCTTACAATAGAATAACAAGGCTAATGTAGTTAAACATTCCTTTAAATTGCTCCTCCCATAAAGTCAAACTATGTGTAAGTTTAAATCCCCTGTTCTGCGCTCTGATTGGCTCGCTGAAATTACAGGGGCCCTGATGTTATGGCACTCAACATCTGGGAGAAAAGTGAGCTGAGCTGGGCGGGGCGCAAGACAAAAACTCGAACGATCAACCAATCGGAGACGACATTATCCTAACTTAACACTCTGTGATTGGATGTAATTTCTGTCAAACCACAGCGCGGGGGCGTGGCCTGAGCGACTCCCGAACGAAGTGTTGTGATTTCAGTCTGGGTCCAGTCTTGTCACAGTAGTGAGGGGCGCCTTTCCGTTTCTCTGGCGCTCTGGGATTACTAACCGTGTGACGCATAAAACTAGCTAAAACTAACAACTCTGCCTTCTTCGCCGCTTCTTCTCTGCTCTGAGAGACAACGACGAATCTTCTTTTTTGTTTTTTTTTTCCACACTGGAGGTGCGAAGGAAACAAATAAGGTAAGAAGTGGTTCGCTTGCTAGTTGTGGACTTTCAACGATCCTGCTGCAGCTGCGCTCCCTTTGCTCATTAGGAGTGTGATTCTCCAAGTTTGCCACAACAGGGAGATTATTTCACTTTTTAAAAGGCGCTAAAACCTCTACAACAATTTTAATAACGTAAACACAACATTTCAGACACGTCTTATGAGCTTAAACTATCCCTTCACTCGCCCCAAGTTGAATGTGGAGTCCGGAGAAGCCCTTGTTCTCTCTTTTCCTCGGCTGTGTTTGCGAGTCTTGCTCATTTCTACACTGAGGATGAGAAATTACAAGCCTGTTATAACTGACGCTACACTGATTTTTCAAGCTTTTAGACATGTGTTGTCCCCCGTGCTGCGGTTGGATTTTTAATTCGCAGATTTCCATACATCTAATTGGCTCATTATATCAAACCTGCAACTCAAATAATGTTTTTCGCTCTCTGTTGTTCGTTGCCGCAAGAGTCCTCAGCAACTTATCACGAATTAGCAACTGATAACGTCTCTCTTCCAGTGGCACCCTGCCTAAGACACCAATTGAATCCGGATACCGTGGTGTATTTTCCAAAGGACACGACCACAGTTGTTTACTCAAGACTTGTTGTTTGCGAAGAAAAGCGACACATAATGTGGCATTTACTGTATTTTACAATCAAATAACATCAACTAATCCATCTGAGTGTGTGAGTGCCTGGAAAGGAAAACTGTTTGCGTGCCAGTTCGATCATATTGAAACGACACATTTCCCTCTCACTTTGCACAGATTGTACCTGCTAAATCGTGCTTACTTCATCTGCAGTTCAGTCTTAATGCCAAACTCGGGAGAGAAAACGATGAGCTCATTGTTCTAACAGGTTTCTGCTTTTGCATGCAGAGTTTCAGCAGCAGTCTGTATTGGACTTCAGTTCTGCCTACGATGCACAAAGAGATTGGAAACCTGTGTTTTTCTCTCATCAGATCCCCCAAGAGCCCCTGGTGGTTATTTATGTTGGAATAGATTCTCAGAGCTGTTCTTGAGCCTTCCTCTGCAGAAGACAAATCATAGTCCCACTATGATTTGTCTCAGCCTGTTGTACATTAGCCTCCTCCTGGCCCTCAGGGTGGGTGTACAGTTTCAGTTGAGGCTAAGAACATTTCAACAACAAATACATTAAATACATCTCTTATGCACAAACAAAGACAGACTACACCGCTACTTCTTCGATCTTGGCCTGTTGCAAGGCAATATGTGCCTTCCTGGCTGACTCAAAGGCAGCCTGGTCCTGTTATATTCTCTGATCTATCCCTAGCCTTGCAAAAGTTCGCATGCATTTTTAAAAATGTATGTTCACCTTAAGGTTTACATTGCTTTTGACTGAACGGCAGAGGCAACTTTGCTCATTCAGAATCTGCCTCTTGTTTTGGCTCTTGTGGGGGAAACAACATGCACTCCCTGTTCCAACCAGTCAGATGTTTAAGTGAAGACTGTGTGGTCGGATCTTGTGATTGTTGTTTTTTTATTTTTTTTTTGTCCCTGCTCATCTCAGCTGCAGCAGCGATATCATAGGATGAGCAGGCCACAGATGGCTTGCGGTTTCCTTACACAGCTGTACAGTGACTTAGCACTTGATGCTGCTCAGAGGACATTGCAATGTGGTTTCAGGTTATTTTATCTGACATGTTACTGGTCTGCTGACAAGGAGAGATGCTGCTGCCCTGCAGGACAAGTGAGATGCTCCTGTGCAGCCTGAGTCTGTCTGATACTTACCAGCATGTCTGCCTGTCTGCCTGTCCTCCTACTTATACACTATCTATATATATATATGCAAATCTATTTTCAACCCTTGTTTGTGGCGGTCTCCCATGCTCACAAACAATCAACTCCTCTCTGTTTTTTCATCTGTTTTTCTTGTTGTTTTTTTACACAAACCCATTAGGAAAGTCACATTCTGCTGACGGTGAGTTAGAGTCGTAAATGTGAGAGAGCGCAAAGTACCAGCAGTGTATTCATTTCCTCATCACCTCTGAAAATTGCTTGCTCGTCGTCCAGCTCTCATTTTCAGGCCCTGATAGGTTCGTCGCTCAGTTAGCATGGTTAATGGTGCATTTAGCCCAATTTGTAATTTTATTTCAGATTTCCATTTCGGCACTTGCTTTTAGTTTGAAATGACAAGAGGCTCCGATGGAAGGACCCCGCGTGTGCAGATGGCATCTCCCTAATGGGTCCTCAGGGTAATGATGGTTGAAATAGGCTCCTAACCAGGGGCTGAGGACTGTGGCCCTTGGGGGACATTCAGCAGGCCTATTTCCATTTTCATCGCCGATAAAGTGCTCAATGTCTGAACATAGCTACATATAACACTCATGCACACACATTTAGTCTGCAGATTGGATTGGTCAGAGGGGAAAAAAACTGAATTTCACTTGGACATGTGAAGCTACTTTATATTAAATCCCCTGGCGACCTTGAAGTTGTTGAATTGCTGCACTCATGCTCTTTAGGCTATTGTTGTGGCACCTCAACAACGGTGATTTGTCTAAAGTGTCTCAGACCTCAAGCACATGCCGTCATTATGCGACTGCCGTTGAAGTGAAGAATGGGCCGGTACAGTGCCGTGCTTCAGGAAGCAACAGTTAATCTCAGCTCTTCATCCGAAACATATGGGACTTTGTTTGGCCCTGCACCTGAGAGAGGCACCGGCCTGTGGCACCTCATATTTCATTTTGATAATGGTTGGTTACCCGTGGCAACTGGGCAGCCAATGAGAACCCTGTTTCTTGAAGTGGATAGTGGAAATAAAGGGAGGAGGGTGGGCTATGAGGAAGTGAGCTCCAAGGCTGCATCCCTCCCCTCTCCCCCACTTCTTCCTGGCTGGTTGTGTTGTGTCCAGCGAAGGGTGTGGGAACCCTGGGGAGTGAATTATTACCTGTCAGCCCCGCAGGGTCCCTGTCGTCCATAATCCATGGCTGACACAGCACAGGCCGGTCCAGGTTATCTGCTGAGACCACCGGTCCTTGGCCTCCAGGTCTGGCCCGTTTGACCACAGCTGGAAATAAATCACATTAACATGTTGCATCAAGCATTACAAATGCACAGGTTAACAAAAGCAGGCAGACGTGCCTTCTGCAGCGTGGCTGAAGTGGGTTCTCCATCACTGTCCTGAATGGATGGGACTTTTTTTCTCAATAGTTTTCAGCTGCTCTTTCAACTGAACAGAAATAATTTCACTGCACCTGGAAGAGTTTTCCCTCGTCTTTTTGCTGATTCAGTGCACAGCATCTCCCAGGTATATTGACCTGAATGATTTTTAAAGTTAATTTACAGATTACCTGTGGCTTAGACGTAATGTATACTGCCAATTCAGTTACATCCGTTTCCCTATTATTGTTGCAGCTTTCTGGAAGTAAAGGTGAATACATTGGGTGTTTTCAGTGCTGAAAACCTTTTCTCTCACTATAGTCCAATCTTCAGCTATTGGAGTTGAATCCTTGGCATGCTTGTAATTACTTTTGATTCCAAAAACAGGCGTGCAGTGGCTTCCATGCTGTGGTCCTGGTGTGGTGAGTGCAGGACTGGAAATATAGCCAAGCTGATGAGTGTGTAAATTTTGGGAGGAAAAGCTTTGAGTTCAGTTAAAGGCTAGAGGAAAGGAGAGGGAGAAGAAGCAAAAGATGGCGGGCGGGGCCAGACCACAAACTGGACAAGTGACAGGCCTCGGCCCGTCTATCCAGACTGGCTGTCTTCCTGTGGTTTTGTCGAGCTGTTTTTCAGAAACGTTAACCCCTTGTCGAGCATGGACTTAGGCTCTGCTTGCCAACCCGCCACGGCCACAAGCAGCGCAGCAGGAACACTAGATGACTGTCTGGTTATGCTTCGTGAAGCACAGTGGACAGAGTCCAGCAATTAGAGGGGAAAATATAACCTGTTGCTCACAGTGTCAGCAAATTGCCTCATATATATATATATATATATATATATATATATATATATATATATATATATATATATATATATATATATATATATATATATATATATATATATATATATATATATATATATATATATATATATATATATATATATATATATATATATATATATATATATATATATATATATATATATATATATATATATTTATTTAGGTTAGAGAGGGTGTCATGTTTCATAAAAGAATCTTTGTCAAGGATTAAAACCTTGCTGTATGTTTTTAATACTTTCATTCACCTTTGTTTAATTTCTGTGTAAAGTCATGAACTAAGGTTTCTGTGTTTTGTTTGTGGTTTTGTTTTTTATTTAGAATTCTGCAGCCAGAGTCAGAATACTTAGAATAGATTAATGCCTTTTGCCTCCCGCACTCCTGTATCAGTTGCTTTTTAGACAAATGTACCTATTCACTATGTGGTGCCATAGACACACACTCTTTGACTGGTGTGACAAGGAGGCTGTGCGTGGTACCCACAGGGCAGCTTGGAAGCAGCATGCACAACAAAAAGGATCTCTCTTGCAAGGATAGAAAATGAATCATCCAAAAATGAATCCTTGTCATTTTTCATGCATATTTCATGTGAAGAAGTAGCTAAATCGGCTTCATATGCGCATGGATTTTCACCGTTTTAAAGGATTATTAGCTGATGACTAAGCGCAAAGATCTTCCAAACTCCCATTCAGCTGCGTCACCCGCTATCCCCTGAATCCTGTTTATTTTAAAAACCTTAACACTCAGCAGCATAACATTAACTCCCAAAAGATTAAGATAATACAGACATCACACAACACGTTCCCACTCGCCACCATAGAGAGTACAGAAACATAACTTCCCCTCTAAATCCACTTCGATTCTCCTCGCTCCTGTGTTTAATGAAGGAAGCGATTGAAATAAGGAAACGAGTGTCTCGGGGAATAGCCTCTGGCCATACATATACCGGTTATTGATTGTTTAACTCTTAGTTGGGTGGGCTAGGTGATGGCAAAAGTGCATTTGGTTTGTTGCTCCAA